AAAATGATATTAATAATGCTCTAGCGACAGTCATAACATGGTTAAATAACAATAACTTAAAAATTAATCTAACAAAAACAAGCGTAATGCATTTTAGCCAAAGAATACCCAGTAAAAACCTCAACGTGAATTATAACAATAAAGTAGTGGATAAAGTTGCAAGCACTAAATTTTTGGGTTTGGAAATAGATCAAAATCTGAACTGGAAATCACATGTAGTCAAGGTTTGCAAGAAACTAAGTAAATCCGCATATGCCTTACATGCATTATCGTTGAAGGTTTCTAAGGAAGCGCTTCTTACCGCCTACTACGGTTTAGCTGAATCCCATCTTCGTTACGGGGTTATATTCTGGGGTAATTCAACCGACAAAGATATGGCATTCAAGGCCCAAAAAAGGTGCATTCGGTCAATGTATAAACTAAACACTACTGATAGTTGTTACCCGTATTTTAAAGAACTTAACATTTTAACATTACCGTGTATTTATATAATGGAAATGGCTATGTTTGTCAAGTCAAATCCACATTATTTTAAGAAAATGAACGACGTAGTAGCACGAAGTAGACGAGACGATAGTCAACTATGTCTTCAAAGAGCGAAGACAACACTAATGGGCAAAAGTGTCTGTTGCATGGCACCTAAAATCTTTAATAAATTACCTAAATCCTGGAGAAATTTGAGTATGTCAATATTAAAAAACAAATTGAGAAAATTATTAGTTGACAAGGCATATTACAATGTTGCAGATTTTCTAATGGACAATGGAATAGAATAATATTTTAAATAGGTACTAAATAACTTGGACATCTCATCTATTTTACTATGACATTTCTTAACTTTAATCTTTTGACATCGTACCTATATTTTGTTAATGCGACTATTTTAATTTCTGTAATCAATTTAATAAGTACATTGCATAATATTGATTTTATTTTATATAATTTTATTCTTTTAATTATCTGTTAATTCATATTTGCATGCCTCCTGGTAAAATATGGTTGAGCTCGCAATGTACCTAAACACCACATATTGTATTACCCATATTTGCAAATAAACTATCTTTATCTTTATCTTTATCTTATCTTTAAAATGAATGTAATCGATTAGAGAATTGTAAGTTTTCCATTAATTTTAAATTAATGGGATCATTTTCGGTGAACGTTTGGCTTTTGTGTTAGTACATAATATATTGTCACGCCTAGTTTTCTAGATTATATGGTGTGTTTTAAGGATACAGGCTTCTATTATTTTTGTCTGCCCTAAATTGATACTCCACAATGAGCCCATAGAGGTGATGTAATGCAACTCTTTAGTTTATAAGATTGTTCGTTGCTCTGAATAGGGGGATTCTATTTTAAAACCACTGCAAGGATTTGGTCGTTTAAGTACTCGTTATTGTCTTACTATACAAAGTAAAGAATGCTTTCCTTCTTGAAAACTATCATAGGTACCTATATAATATTTTAATAATTATTTTCTTGAATTATCATTAAATAACAGAATGATGAAATGTTATGCAAATAACGACTTTAATGACCAACTAATTAGGTCGATATGTTTATTTATCGGAACTTTAACGACTTCATTCTAAACTCGTTTTGCGTCTATTTCTCTAATCGCTTGTTAATCGTTTGTTTTTTTCTATTAATTACGCACTTACGGTACAGTAATGTAAACAATGTCATATTTTTAAACGAATCAAAATTAGATACCTACTAAATATTTGGTAAAACATAACATACCGTAACCTTGAACCTTATATTGCTAAAAATGTAAGACAAATGTGCACATATCCAATGTAACACCTAATTTTGACTAGTATTGTTATTGGTGATAGTGCCGTACACCAGGCGTGTTTCCAGATTTTGTGTTATTATGGAGCAATTTAGAAAAACCAAATAAAAACTACAAAAAAAAATCTACAATCCTAGAACCTCTGCCACACGAGCAGTCGCACTTATTAGTTCACCGACTCACAGCACCTAGGCGCTGGACGAAAGAGTAGTATTGAAATAATAAAACACATTTACATTTATTCGAAGATTATAATTTTTCTCACATCTCAAGGTCTTCAAAATATTAACAAGCAAATATTTTATGCAAGGCAAAGAAAAAATAATAATTACTACCTATTCATTAACCAATGTTATGGTTGAGATGAAAATTTAACTGTTTACAACTTTTTTTGTTAATAAAAATGGTTACTACGAAACACATGATTTAAAACGTGAATTTTTGACTCGTTCATTTGTGAGAAGTCTGTGATTTCATTGAATCACTTGAGGATTATTTGGAGCCGGATCAGTACCGGTTTGCATCCTAGTTGAATAATGTTTTCTTTACCTACATATCTCTTATGATACAAGTCACTACAGATCAATTATAGTACACATAACATATTACATAACATTCACGCCTTTTATCCCCGAAGGGGTAGGCAGAGGTGCACATTATGCCACTGCTGCCACTGCCACTGTACAATGTAACACCCACTTTTCACTATTTATGTTATGAGTCCCATGTAATAGGGGGTGAGCCTATTGCCATAGACCGGACACGATTACAGACTCCGTGCTACTACTGAGAATTAAAAAAAAAACCAGTATTATATTGCCCGACCCGGGAATCGAACCCGAGACTCCTTGCCCGGCAGTCGCAATTGCGACCACTCGGCCCACGAGGCAGTCTAGTTGAATAATGTTTTCTTTGCCTACTTACATATTTTTTATGATACAAGTCAATATAGCTTGAAGCGTTCAAAGCCTGAAAGTTTCTATAGGACCAATTATAGTACCTACCTTTTTGATTTTTTTTGGTGACCAGAACCTTTTAAAGCCTAGCTTTTTAACACTTAGCTTTTTAGGCAACTTCCCAAATAGAAGGAGGTTCTCAATTCGGCCGGTATTTTGTTTTTATTTAGATGAACATCCAGGGTGTGTGGGATTCTTACCTCATTAGACCACCCCGGTGCCCACCATTATCACTTATAGGGGAAACGATGAATAAATGAATAAAAACATCTCCTCTAAGAGACGAGCTTCTACGGTGTATGGTGTTACGACACATAACTAGACGTATGCTTCCCTTAATGTGCTCGGCGGCACGTGGCGACTGCCACCGTCATCTTCCTTGAGGCCACTCTGAGCGAGACTTATAATACCTACTGGAAATAATAAAACTTTATTATCTAACCTAATAACCGCCCACGAAGGGTGCCTTGAAGGCCAAGTACCACCAAGTGTACCTTAGTTATGATCTTCAGGTGTTTCCTAGGGAATGTTGGATCACATCTTATTTTTAAGGGGCGTAACCGCTTTCCTACTCCTCGGGTTCGAAGTTCAGGAGTCCTGAATTTCGAACCCGAGCCTTACGTTTACCCATACCGTAACCCTTTACGTTCTCCACGGTTCCGTATCGGAATCAGCCCTATTGAGTCCCATCCTATACGGATGGGGCCGTACCTACATCTTATTACTTGGGACTTAAAACATAAACAGGAAAAGTGGGTTTTATTGTAGAAATGCCCTATTTAACCTTTTGGAGAGTAAAGTATTAATTTTTTTATCTTATTAATATAAATGCATAATTTTGTGAGTTTGCGTGTATATTTGGAACAGAGGTTTATTTTTTATGAAATAGGAGGTTAACGAGCAGATGGATCACCTGATGGTAAGCGATCAGCGCCGCCCATGGACACACGCAACACCAGAGGAGTCACAGGTGCGTTGCCGGCCCTTTATAAAGGAATACGGTTTTTTATTTGAAGGTTTGAAGGCCGTATCGGTTCGGAAATACTGCCGACGACAGATCGCTGTCATCAGTTTTGCTGTGCGAGGTAGGAAGCTACGTGAGAAGCGCACAATTGTGGCCTGCCAACCATCTATATGGTGAGGATTCATATGCTGTCGTAAGGGTCGATGGCGAAAAGATGCGGCAGGTATCAGGTCAAACAATTCCTCAGAGCACTCCCCGTGGTATACGCGATAGAAAATGCACAACGAAGCTATATCTCTACTCATTGCCAAAGTGTCTAAGGTAGATTTGGAATAACACAGGGGAACGCGGGCTAAGCCGCTCGCGGAAGCTAGTTTCATTTATAAAATAATGTTAAGTACTATATACGTAACATACATAATATAATAATCATTTATTTCAGACCATGTCCATATTCTTGTTAGTAACATTGAACTTAAAAACTAATGTTAGTACACATTATATATATGATTTAATAGGTCAATATACAAGAATATCATGCCATCATACATCATAACATCATGCCTTTTATCCCCGAAGGGGTAGGCAGAGGTACACATTATGCCACTGTACAATGTAACACCCACTTTTCACTATTTATGTTATGAGTCCCATGTAATAGGGGGTGAGCCTATTGCCATATACCGGGCACAATTCCAGACTCCGTGCTACTACTGAGATTTTTTTAATCCCAGTAATACTTTGGGCAAAGTATCCGGGAATCGAACTCGAGACCCCTTGCCCGACAGTCGCACTTGCGACCACTCGGCCAACGAGGCAGAGTATGTCTCAGTCAAATACTATATACCTACTTAATATATTCGTTTTTTCAATCTATTTATGGCGTATATGCGTAATATACCCATATATACCTAGTTAGCTTGGTTGGGATACATAAAATTACTTTTTGTTCACAATCACTCGTGTCGTGTGATAACGACAGTTCTAATTTGATGTGCAATTGCAAATTGTTATTTATTTTATTTAGTGTTGTATGTGTATCTTTGTGTACGGAACTACGGACGCATGTATCTAGGTGAGTTTTGATAAACTTATGATTAAAGTGTAGTAAATAAAGAAAAAATTATGGAGCCAAAGTATAATAAATCTTATAGGTTACTAGCGGCCCGGTACGTGCTTCGCTACGTATAAAGTGAAATAAAATAAACAAATCGGAACATCAAATTCATTTATTTAATCAAAAAAATATTTTATTTAAAATCGAAATCAATTGCTAGCTATTTACAACACACTTAATCCAAAACATTTGGATAAACAATATTTTTTGTTTTTCCATTTTGAGCATAAATAAACAAACGGCTGGGGGTACCGACTCTGGAACAGGCAACATATAACTGGCCATGTGAAAAACAATGTTCCTCCAAATTCACACCACAAACGTGAAGTGTTTGACCTTGGGCCTTGTTGATGGACATCGCAAATGATAAACGCACAGGATATTGTAAACGTTTGAACTCAAAAGGCATATCAGTTGGAATCATAGGTATACGCGGTATCAAAACAACTTCTCCTTTTGATTTACCAGTTAAGATCGTAGCTTCAATCAAATTTGGCAATAACTTTTTCACTGCCAATCTGGTTCCGTTACACAGTTTTGGTGGATTAATATTTCGCAATAATATAATCGAAGAACCAACTTTCAGATTCAAGCAATGCGGTGGCATACCAGCCGGCTCCAATGAATTTAAAAATTCAATTGGTTTCGTACATAAGACATTGCGTCTTGTGCATATTCGTTCATATGCCGTGGGCTACCAATATACGAAGATGGCAATATAGTTAAACGTCCGATGTCATTAACATTAGCATCATTCGCTATCGCATCTTGCAAATGAATATATTCTTCGGATCTTAATTTTGCTTGGTTGAAACGAATAAAATTAAGACGTTCAGTCTCTATTTTGGCATACATATCAACGATGTACTGATGATATAGTTTACCACATTTTAAGATATAATTTTGTTCTTGTGGACGAATCATCAATCGATACGAATAAAAATTCATGGCACTAACTTTTTTCTGTATATGTAGACCTGAAAATAATTACAAAATGTGACTTTAGAAAGTTGTAGAAATGAAATGTCAACACACTAAAAATAGGTCAATTATTTACCTGTTCGTGGATCAATCATTGGTATATTGATATGGTAACCATCGTCACCTTTCCAATGCAATATTGGGTACTGTAATGCATCGTAACTACGATGAAGTTCCGAAACACGTTGCAATTGCTCATTTCTACGATGAAGTACAATATCACGGGATTGAAACTGATCACCAAGAATTACAATTGCAACCTCATCAATTGTTGGTGCATTAAATCGCCTTGCATGCTCTCCAAAAGGTGTTCTATCAGCTCTTATTACGATTTTGTGATTATCAGTTGGCATACGATCGAGAGCAATTTTAAACAATTGAACTAATGCGTTATGCTGATGGAAAAACCTTTGTAGCTCACGAATAATTTCTCGTCTTGTATTCGAAACAATTGCACAACGTTGATCCAATTCACGATTTTCATCACCAATAAAATAAATTTGCAAAAATTGATGATCAGCGTCGGGGTATGGCAATAACGAACCAGCTTGATGATAAATCTGGCCCTGAATCTGTAACATGTATACAATTTTAGGTAAATCTTATATCAGTTTTTTTTTAAATATACTTTATGCTTCAGATTGATACAAACATGGAATAATCCTGTTGAAGTATTTACCTTAAACGTCGGCATAAAATTATCTCTAATAATTTTAGTTGCACCAAAAGAAGTCATTTGAAATGCCGAATTGTATTGTTGAATATGACTCAGAAAGTGCTTCGACGCTTGCGATGTCCCAAAAATAAATGAATACAATGGTTCGGGTGGAGTTTCTAATGCTGGCAATCTCACTTTGCCATTAGCACAACACATGCCGGGCGTTTCACCTGGAAAGTTAGCCGCATCACAATGTGGACATATTGCGTCCATCATTCCAATGTATCCATACATACTATAATCAATCTGACTGTTGTAATTAAAAGCAGCACGCATCATTTCAGCCAAAACAGCACGACGTATTCGTGATGGCCGTGCAAGATTCAGTACAGGTACTGGGTTAACAAATCCATTGCGTGCATTACGTTCACGCTGCGATGCATTAGCTTGTGCGCGTTCATCTGCAGTCTGTGATCGTCTTAGTAATGCCACATCATTTGCATTACGCGTTCGCCGACCTATATTTGCTCGTCTGGCTGGTGGCATTTTTCCCGTATGCACATATGTTTTCGCTTAAAAATCGAAAAAAAAATTAGAACAAAAAAAAAAAACAAATTCCCAAGAAGCTGTCGCATATGATGCTATGTGAAATCATATACGGCAACTTAGAAAAGTACACATAAATTCAGGACTCACCGTTTGTATGAATGCACTGCAAATGCAATTATGTGAAAAGAAATTTATCGCTGATAATATGCTTTAATCAAACCACGTCCAAAATGAACTGACGGCATGAATGACATAACAACGTGCTTGTCCTGTCAACAAAACTTCAAAAAAGTTTCTGTGAAAAAAGTTTCTATTGAATTCATTTATTACAAAAAATGTGACAAATGAGGAACCGCTCGACCGATTTTGTGCAAACTTCACATAAACCATCTACTAAATATGCCGACCAAATCCTAAGCATTTGGTTTGGATAGGTGAGCCCGTTCTTGAGTTATGGAATTACAACGAAAAGTGGCATTGATTTTTATATATATAGATATATTTGAGGTCAAACAAGACAACAAAAAGTCGCATAACTGTGAGCATTAGACTTTATAATTTAACCAAAAATTTAAACAGCAACCTCAAATGCTAATCATATTTAGTGCAAGTTTCTGAAAATGAATTCTATTGGTACTACATTATATCTCATTTTAATTAACATTCTAGCTTACCGAGTTTCCTTAACTATTAGGTTCCGATATTTTAAATAATACGTAGGTATATACATAATTATTACCTATTGTGTCAGTTAAACAAATTAAGAATATTCGGGAAAGTAAAACTACCTACCCCTTTATAAAATCCTCACTCAGATACACCTACCGCCATCTATGTAACAAATAGAAAACTAAGCATCAAAATAACGTACCTTTGTACTGTTTCCGATAGTAGTGACATCTCAAGTTTTATTTAGACAGCTGAAAGCTGTTTTAGTGTTATGTTTTACCAATAGATGGCGGTAGGGCAACGTGTAATTAGAATTACCAATTTTTTTATTTAGTGCAGATTTTTCCGAAGCCAGATAAATTTTATCGCGGAAAAAGTATTTAATAATTTAGTAAAAATTATCTTTTGATTAAAAAATCAGCCCCTTAGATATCAATTTAAATTCTTAACACAATAATTAAGATAAATGAGATGAATAGCCTGCCTCGTTGGTCGAGTGGTCGCAAGTGCCACTGCCAGGCAAGGGGTCTCGGGTTCGATTCCCGGGTCGGGCAAAGTATATCTGAGTTTTTTCAAAAAATCTCAGTAGTAGCACGGAGTCTGGAATTGTTCCCGGTATATGGCAATAGGCTCACCCCCTATTATATGGGACTCATAACATAATAGTGATAGTGGGTATTACATTTTAGAGTCATAATGTACACTTCTGCCTACTCCTTCGGGGATAAAACGCGTGACGTTATGTATGTATGAGATGAATAGAGAAAAGATATTCCAAGTGAATACAGGATCACAAATCTAGCTTAGGCAACGTATGACTCCGATTCGCCAACTTTTAGGGCATCGATTTTAAGTAGATATTATGTACGGTAGCCAGTGGGTCGACCTATCTTTAATTACATAACATCACGCCTCTTATCCCCCAATTAATGTAACACCCACTTTTCACTATAGGTATATGTTATGAGTCCCATGTAATAGGGGGTGAGCCTATTGCCGTATACCGGGCTAATTCCAGACTCCGTGCTACTCCTGAGATTTTTTTTTAAAACCCAGTAATACTTTGCCCGGCCCGGAAATCGAACCTGAGACTCCTTACCCGGCAGTCGCACTTGCGACCACTTGGCCAATGAGGCAGTCAAAATATTACCTACCTAGTTTAGTCTGATATTAGTACAGAATTTAGAACACTTAGTTTAGAAAAAAAATACTATGAACTGTAAACGAAATCAAGAAATTAAAAAGTATGGTATGACGCCACAATACTTAAGTGCGTGTTAAGTATTAGTGCGTGGTTGGCGATTATAAATTAGCCATAAAAAGAATTATTGTAAGAAAACAAACGGTTTAGTTTTTATCAATAAAAGTTAGGCGGTATTTTAGTTGCGTCAAACTCTATAATAACTTGATGACCTAGCAACGAAAAGGCGAGAATTATTACTTAAACTGTCAAACACCAAGCGGTCACCGGTGACCGCAACCTATTGTTCTATAATTGTGTCTATAATGACGGTACTCAACGATTAAAACTTACTTACAAAATTTGATACTAATTTACGTGCTACTTTTAAATGAATGATATTTACATAACATAAAATCACGCCCTTTATCCCCGAAGGTATAGGCTGAGGTGCACATTACGGCGCTTAATGCCAGTGTACAATGTAACGCCCACTTTTCGGTATTTATGTTATGAATCCCATGTAATAAGGGGTGAGCCTATTGCCATATACCGGGCACAATTCCAGACTCCGTGCTGCAATTGAGATTTAAAAAAAACCTGTAGTACTTTGCTCGACCCGGGAATCGAACTCGATAACCCTCGCCCAGCAGTCGAACTTGCGACTACTCTACCAACAAGGCAGTCATGGATGATATTTATATCAGTATTAGTATCTACAATTTTTATTGATATATAGACAATGGATAAAAACTAATACCATTTAAATCAGATCAGAAGATTTTTATTTATTACTGTATGTAAGTAGATACAAAATCCGAAACAAATTCCAAAAATATTTAATATTTCAGAAACTAGCCACTTTCGGACCAGAGACCTTAAGTCTAATTTTGTAGGAAATTAGTTGTATTGTCGCTTTCCGAAAAAAATATCTACGTCGAATTAAAAGTCACCCTGTATGCTTTTATTTGCATTTATTTTTTTTTATTTTTTTTTGCAAATTGCGTGTATTCAATATTCAGTTAAAGGTGCAATTGGCTGGTAGGAAGTTGGGCATCCTATCGAGGTTAGGCAATACTTCACACCGAAACAATTACTTGTGCTCTATCAATTAACTTATGCCTGGTAACTGTTGTTGGCCATTTTAATTGGTAATGGTCACAATTGCAACTGGCAAGCAAGATATCTTAGGTTCTGTTTCCGGGGCCGGTAAAGGAATATTTAAGTAATTGTGCGAAGCTGTGTCGTGGTGGCCCGGAAGGCTAAGACCCCCGCTTCTCATGCATGAGGGTACGGGTTCGAAACCTACCAACGGCAAGTACCAATGTGACTTTTTCCGACTTATATGTACTTTCTAAGATTATCAAGACACCACTGAAAAACGGTGAAGGAAAACATTGTGAGGAAACCTGGGCTCATAATTTCTAATTATAAGTTTGTAATCGCCAACCCGCATTGAGCAAGCGTGGTGATTAATGCTCAAACCTTCTCCGTGTGAGAAGAGGCTTTGCTCAGCAGTGGGCATTTATAGGCTGTTGATGATGTGCGAAGCTTGGCTTTTGTTCGCCATATGGCAAGTTATAGGCTCATTTCCTATTGTGTAGGACTTATCACATAGGTATAAAGTAGGGAGCTACATGAAGTATACCTTTTCGGAGATTAAAAGACGTTATGCTAAGTCAGTATACAATTATTTATGAAACAATTCCAATACCGATTAGCTCAACGAATATTACTATCTATTACATGCTAATGTCATTTACAAGTAGTCGGTTGGTAGAAGACAGACGGAGGTGGCGGTCGGTCGTGCTAGTTCGTGTATTAAAATCGGTATCCTGTTCGTGTATTAATTAATAAAAAAACTTTTCAAATAAAAGTTTCACTGTGCCACCAATTCTTAAGGTATTAGATAACTTTCTCTATTACTTTGACCTTATAAGGTTTTGCCCTCTATGGTCCTATTTAGTTCTCCGTATGCAGCAGAATGAGGGTCATGCTAGACCTTGACTTTACTTTAAGGTAAGGTATCTTGAATTTTAATGTAAACTTTATTTCCTTTGGGTGTGAATGTCTATGCTCTATTCATCTGGTTATAGAACAGCATGTCTTCTATAGTTTTTTCTGTTAGTTTGAGGGAATAACTTGTTCCATATAACAAAAATTTGTCTATTACATATTTTTATTAATTCCTAATAACATAGCATAACATCATGCCTCTTATCTCAGAAGGGGAAGGCAGAGGTGTACATTATGCCACTGTACAATGTAACACCCACTTTTCACTATTTATGTTATGAGTCCCATGTAATAGGAGCCTATTGTCATATACCGGGCACAATTCCAGGCTCCGAGCTATTACTGTGAATTTTTTGAAAAACCCAGTATTACTTTGCCCGACTCGGGAATTGAACCCGAGATCCTTTGCCCGGCAGTTGCGACCACTCGGCCAATGAGGCAGTCTTAATTAATTCACGTACCTATTCACGTACGTATATATAAAATGTGTATCTTGGTCCCCATGCTTGCTAACTCAAGGTAGATTACCTTTAGGGCTGCGTGTGTAGCATCCCTACAGACTAAAGGTTTCGAAATAATAATAATAATAATCTTTAATACGCAAAAAAGTACACAGTATACATTAGTTTAATACAAGTCATAGTGTTGTAATACAAAATTAAAATTCTGACCTCAGTACTGGGGAAATGCCTGTATCACAGAATTCACAGAGGCTCTCATAGGTTGGTATTATTGTGATCCTAGTATAGCGGACTTTAAATAATCAAATAATCAAAATACCATCATCATAATATCAGTATTGTGGTGCTATTTCGAAACTTTTAGTCTTATACCTTTTTCATTAGGTATCTAAAGTTGACTGCCTCGTTGGCCGATTGGTCGCAAGAGCGACTGCCGGGCAAAGGGTCTCGGGTTCGATTCCCGGGTCGGGATAAGTATAGCTGGGGGGTTCTTTTTTTAAAAAAAATGATACTTGGACGGACACACACAGGACTCATAACATAAGCATTAAGCGCCGAAATGTGCACCTCTGCCTACCCCTTCGCGGATAAAAGGCGTGAAAGTTCACCACACATAACTATGTAGGTACCTATACCTACCTCCTTAAACATGACATGCCGATTCCAGACTCCATCCTATTATTGAGTATTTCCGAACCGATAATTGCCCATTCCAAGGCATTGAATATGCCGAGGAATACGCGATATGGAGGTTCGTATCTCTAAATTCGATTTTATATGTTCCAAACTTAGATTAGATCTATTTTAGTTTACCACTGAAATCAGGTTCTAAATCCGAACTGAGCTAATGAATGAAAACTTTCTGGTCGATGCGATGTAGAAATTATTAGGAGATGCCTATGTTAACTTTGTTCAATCTATGATAATAATTTAACCCTTTTTTTTCTATCGCGATGGAAATCCTCATGGACTTCCCGCGCCGTGGGGACGACGAGGGGGCGTGCCGGACTCATACCGGCTAAAACCACCGCGGTGTTCCTTCACTGCCTGTGACCGTGACCCGGGTTGCCCTTACGGAATCACCACACCCAGCAGGCATCGACCTACCGCTATGTTTGCGGCAGGTCCCGCCACCTTAGCGGCCCTAGGAGGCTGCTTTCCTTCTTCG